CTGCAGAAGAAGGAAAAAAACTGAACCTATTTTACATAATATCTGCTTCCATTGTGTTATCTAGTCTTTGTGATATGTTGGGTTATTTGGAAAGTAAGTCGATAATTTCATCTTAGGGGCTGTGGCTTTTATGCTTATTTTTCTCATCTCATGCTGCCTGCTTTGTGCTGCAGAAGAAGGAAAAAAACTGAGCCTATTTTACATAATATCTGCTTCCATTGTGTTATCTAGAAAAGGCAGTTCTTTTTCTAGTAGGTGTTTAGTTAGTCCTTTGATTTTTCTGAGTTTATTTCATTAAGATATTGGCTGCTCCCTCCTGTCCTGTACCTTCCCTGTTTTCCATCTCAGATATGGAAGCTGGGATTGCTTCCATAACCTCCAGTTGCCATATGTCTTCCACGTCCAGCTTCAGGGCCTGGTGCACCTCTGCCCTCTAGCCTTTTGGATATGTCATTCACCCCACAATAAGTAACATTTCCTTCTCAACTGCCATTATCCCTGCAGATATATTTCTTTCCTCAGTAATCCTTTTATACCTCACATTGTAGGGTTTACCTTGCATTTTAAGATTTTGGGCATGTTCACTCAATTGAGTGACTAAGTAATTTGTCATCCAAACCAGTACAGCTCTGAGAGGAACAGCAGACATAATCTCAGACTGTCCCAGGCTAACGAGGATGTATGGTCAACATTACTTCTACAAGGATCTCCAAGATAGCGACGCCTGGACACTCAGTGTGCTCAGTAAATACCCAGTCAGCGAGTCCTTGACTGTCTCTCTTGTGAAATTTCTGTAGCAGCCAGGTCCTCTTTGAGCATTTTCCTGCTGATTCCTCTTTTGGCTAGACACAAATGATTATAAATCATATATACAGTGCCAGCAACCTCACCCCACCACACTTTCCCTCACAAACACCTCCCTCCCAATGGTTTTGTTTCCCACTATTCATTTTGGCCTGAAATAGTGTTCACTCAAATCCCATTTCTAAAGGCTAGAGATAGAATGACAGTCAAGGCATGCTAACACTTAACTGTGTATGTCAACACAATTCTTAGTTATTTAGTTGACTTTTGAAAATATTCTGCTTTCAACCATAGTACTTCATAGTTATTTGGTTGACTTTTGAAATATACTCGTCTTTGAAAATGGCTGGGCAAAGCATAGTTTAATATTGTTGTAGGAATTTCAATAACAGTCCTCACTGTTCTGGCAGTGCCCATTCTTGACAGCTAATGGCTTAGCAGGACCATTAAAGTGTGTTATTCATACAGTGGAAGGTCTCCCAGTGTGTGATCCAGGTCAGGGTACAGCCTGCTCCCGTTTCCCCAACTTGTTTGACTAGAGTGGCTTTTGTACTTTTAAATAAGCCATTCTATTTTGCTAGACCCTTTCTCCCCTCCTTCCCCTTTTTAAAGAATTTTTATGAGTTTATTGGAGCCGAAGTGATGACAATTGCCAGGAAGCAAAATCTCAAAGGACTGAGAAAATGCTCCTCCCTTCTTTTTTAACAGTGCAGTTTCCATAGGAGACTCACAATGAACTCAACATTGCCAAGTGGGAGGGAGCCGTGGCTTTTATGAATATTCCTGTCTCTACTCGGTCTTTGCCTGTACCAGGCTTTGTGATTGATTCTGTCCAATCTTACTGCTCTCCCCATAGGCCCAGCCCAGGGTCCTTTGTTGTCCTAAATATTTCCTCTAAGGTCTTTCATTAACTTTTTCTTTTCTAATCTAATTTTTCTCCCTCTTACCTACTTTAGCATGTAGCCCTGTAACAATAGTAAGAAAAGAAAAAAAAAAGTACATTCTAGTAATGTGATCAGCTGAAGCAACAACTGGATTTCTGTTCTCTATTAAAAAAAAGAAACTTGCACATTTCACCACTTTATTCTTGCTAAATGCTTGTTGAAATGACACACTGAAATGATTGCAGAGAACCAGCTTTCACTACTTAAATCTTTCATCATAAACGTTTTTTGGGAGGAGAGCAAAATTTCTTTGTTTTTAATTAGTTGTGATATTTTAGGAAAAATAAAGGCAGGAGGAGATAGGATTATTAGTTTTCTTTATAATCACAGTTGATTTCTGTGACACTTAATTGGAGTAGTTTGCTAGTGGCAGAGGTTGTTAGTTGTCTGCTAGTTTCAGTTTGCCCCATCTTTCTTGATAATAAAACCCCTAATTTTAGCTGGCACATGGTCACCTAGAATACAGACTGCATTTCCCTGCCTCCCTTGCAGCTAGGCCTGACTGCATTATAAAATTTTGATTAATTGCTTATAAGTAGAAGTGCCATGTGTAACTTCTTGGAAGTTTTCTAAAGGAGGAAGGCATTTTTTTTTCCCTTTCTGTCTTTCTGAAGGGAATGCAGACATGATGGCTAAGCTCATGTAGCCATTGTAGACCATGAGATGTGATTCATGCATTGGGGATGGTTGATCAACAAGATACCAGGAACCTCTGGATTGCCTGTGTATAAAAAAGAGAGAAACTCCTGTTATGTGTAACCTTTATTATTTGTGGTTTGTTCTCACATGAGGTTGATCATAGTCTCAACTGATCTATCTGTGAATCCATTTCATCTTGTTTGGTAGGAGGGCAACAGCTCTTTGATTTTTTTTTTATCAGACTATATAACATAGAGATAAAGGAATGCTTTGTTTGGTGGGCAAGAAAATCTTAACTTTTATAAGCAAAAAATGTATGAGATGTTCTGCAGTGTCTAAAATCTTAGATGTTATGTGACTCTTACAGATCACAAACATGCTCTTCTCCTTCCTCTTTGCCTTTTTCTTCCCCCTTCTGTAGTCGTTCAGTCCGAAAGCCAGTAAGTGGGACAGAAAAAGAAAGGTGTTCAGATTTGGGGGCGTGATGGCCTACACCATGTGTGGAAACCTGAGTGGGATGAGGGGGGGCATCTGTGCGGGGTGGCAAACCTGGCTTGGGAGGTTCGAAGCCAGGCAGGGCAAGGAGGGTGAGGGCAGATGAGGAGGGTGAGTCTGACAGAGTGTGATGGTGGAAGGAGGAGGTGGGGGGAGATCTGTTGCTGCATTATTACATTGGATGGTTGAAAGTACTCAGAAGAATCCACAACATACATGGTTTAGCAGGAGTAAGAAAACATGGTGAGCCTCTGCGGTCCGGGAGGCTCACTGGTGATTCCCTAGGATGGTATTTTTAGCTGCTCAGAACATATTTTGTCTCCAGATATGAACCATCAAGACATGTGAAAGAATCAGGGTTTCAGGGAAGCCCAGCCAAAAATGTCCAGCAGTGTCTTTTATGCCCGACTGGTCATGTACCTGTAGCCAGATGTAAGCCATCAATCTGCATGTCCCTCGACTTGTATAAGCTGGCTTGGGACTTCTGGGGCAGTTTCAACTTTAAATGAAACATTAAACATCTCTAGCCAACCTACTTGTCCTGCTTGTGACCAAGAATCTACCAGACTCCTGGGTTTCCCTGCAGATAAGCATAAGCTATAAGATAACTCTATGCAGTTACGTATAGAGGTATCATGAAGTAAGTGAGTAGGTTAAAGGTAATGGAAGTCAGAGGTCTCACTATTAGAGAAGGGGATTACAAACATGGGAAGGAAGAAAACTTGAATGAACTTCGTATTGAAATCAGATTTGTTGGTATGAATTCAATAATATAAATAGTGAAGTGAACACAGTTGTGTGTGTGTGTGTGTGTGTGTTCATGTGTTCTTTAGCTCTCTCCACTGATAGGGGCTGAGAATATTGAGCCCCTAGGTCAGTGGTTCTCAACCTGTGGGTCGTGACCCCTTTGGCGGTCGAACGACCCTTTCACAGGGGTCGCCTAAGACCATCCTGCATATCAGATATTTACATTACGATTCATAACAGTAGCAACATTACAGTTATGAAGTAGCAACGAAAATAATTTTATGGTTGGGTCACAACATGAGGAACTGTATTGAAAGGGCCAGAAGGTTGAGAACCACTATGCCCTAGATGGCAATGAGCACATCTAGTGCCCAGATTTTGGCTTATATATACATTTCCACAAAAAGGAACCAGAGCTCATTTTAGAAATGGCTGATTCCAGGGCTGTGGCAGAGAAGTATCAGAAGAGCTTGAATACCTTGTGCAGAAAGCAAGGACGTGCTCAGAGTGATGGGACTTGCCAAAGGAGCTTAGCAACCAGGTTAGATGGGCACGCACTGTCCAACTGGGACAGTTCGAACATCAACATACATAGTAATTTTATTTTTATTTTTTATTTTATTTTATTTTTTAAAATATATTTTATTGATTTTTTACAGAGAGGAAGGGAGAGGGATAGAGAGTTAGAAACATTGATGAGAGAGAAACATCAATCAGCTGCCTCCTGCACACCCCCTACTGGGGATGTGCCCGCAACCAAGTTACATGCCCTTGACCAGAATCGAACCTGGGACCCCTCAGTCCGCAGGCTGACGCTCTATCCACTGAGTCAAACCGGCCAGGGCCATAGTAATTTTAGATTATAACTCGTTGACTAAGATAGATCAAAGCCATACAAGGATAAGTAAGTAAATCATGATTTCCAACAGCAACACCATTGACAGTTTGGATTGGATGAGTCTGTGGTGTGATCTTTTTGTCTTGGTGTGATAGTTTGTTAGCTTGGATGAGGGCTTTGTGCCTTCCACACTCTTGGCCGGTTCTCTGACTGGCACAGTTACTGAGATGGATCACTGAGGCTGGGCCAGCAAAAACCAGCTCTGCAAGCAAAGCTGACTGGCCCTTAGAATGTCTGATCCTGCTCATTAATCTCATTAGCTCCAACTTGCTATGCTGATTGCACTGCTAATTGCATGACTTTTCTTAATTTGGTTTAACATTTACCGACAGTGTTATATGAATTCTTGAGTCTGTTTTTGTGAGAGGTAACACTTCAACCTGTGAAAATAATTTAGCACTTTACATTTTAGGAGTGTAACTATAATTTGGGTACATTAACTAATTGTGTGATTTTTTCTTTTTCTTTTACAGTCTCCTTATCCCACATCACACAGCTGGTCCTCAGCCACAACAAGCTAACAAGTGAGTTGCCTTTCTCATTTGTTTCACAGTGTCTGCCTTGTCGGTAATGTGGTGATACTGCTGATTCTCTTGTTTCCTTTAAAGACACACGTTTATTTGGGGAATCCTAAAGTTTATTTTGGTGACACTAAGATACATGAGCATATTGTCTTCCCATATTTTGTACATTGCTCTATTTTGAGGACTCTTTCTTATTGAGTGTGTAAGCTGAAGAAAGAAAGTGACATTTTGTTTCTGTGGAATTAGTCCCATTTAGGGATGATAAATGCTGCAGTGACCTGAACTGCTGGGCCATTCGTTAATATTTTATGAAAAAAAAAGTGTAAAAAAATAATTAGAATAAGAGTTTTTGCTTTCATCTATACTTCCTCTTCAAAGGGGAAAAATTTATCTGTTGATGTACTTTCCTTCCCTGCTTAATGAGGGGAGCGGGGGAGAAACCAAAGAGTTGTATAAACTATATATATATATATTTGAATTTGCATTTTAAAAAATTCTTGAGTCTGGTTTCTATTGGACATTAGTTGAGTCATGGTATGCTTAACAAATAGTAGGTTTAATACCAGCTCTTATAAGAATATCTTGCATGAATGATATGGGCCATTTTATTCTTAGCTGTGGCTTTAAAGATTTTTTAATGACAGGGCCCCACTCTCCTTTCTCATTCCTAATTGACTGTCACTTCTTTGTGTTTGCCATATTTCCTGCAGCCTTGAGTGATTTTCTAATCATGTGGCAAGAATTTGTTCAGGAGCTTTCTGAGTCCAATGAAATTGAGCAGAATGTCATCCTGAGGGATTTGTGCCGTGAATTTATGTGCATTGTGTACAGCTTGAAGCAATGTCACAGAGCTGTTGATTATTGAGAATTAGGAGTGGCAGGGCCCCTCATGTGCAGGAGACAGGCAGATTAGTTCATTTTTAGCAAAAAGTGCATATTTGTAAGGCAAAGGCAGAGAGGCACAATTGTCACATTTTAGTAGTAGGGACCACAGAAGCTGAAAGTGAGGGCAACAGTCACTTGTGGTCATTTTTGTAACAGGTGACATGCAGCTGTTTTTATTGTTTTTGTAGCAAATGGTCCTGTTGTCCACAGAGAATCTAATCCCAGTCAGAGGGTTTTGCTGTTTGTTTAGAAGGGTGGACAGCATGATTCCTGATTTCCCCAAGATTTTGTGAGCAGAATTCCTGAAGCTGTATACTCAGTAGTTTATAAAAATATTTCTTAATTGCCAAGCTTATATTATGCGTCATTATTAGAGTGAAACACTTTACATTTAAACAAGAAAGCAAAACTTGCTTTAATCATATTATTTAATTAATTGATCTGTTCTTTAAAATATCTTTCAGATGGTTGTAACATTTCTTTTTATACTGCCACAGAGATAGAAATCTCAGGTATCCATGGATCAGTTTCTTGCTCCAGGCATATGATAAGAGATTAACCTAGAGACACACAAATATGGACTTAAATTGTGTCTGTGAAAAGGTTGACTGTGAATGGATCCAAACTTCATATTTCTTCCTTCCTGTTTTTTTTTCTTCTTCTTCTTTCCTCGTTTGAGACACACTTATCCAGTAAACTCTAATTAATCATCTTGGTAAATTCTGTTTCATGCCAATGTGAGTAGTGTCAGTGACACTCGGTCTGTTCCACTAAGGTCAAATTAGCATCTTTTACTGTTTTTCTGGCATTTAAATGAATGACTTTACAATGGCTTTTCAAGTGTTTATAGTAAATATGTCCATTTGATGGCAATATAAATATGCATTATGTGTAAGTGACTGAGCACATCCTCCTGTCATGTTTTATTGTAATCAGTGTCTTTCACTTTCTGTGGTTTTTAATAGGGGCTGCCTCAGTACTGCTTTTATCTTGCAAACGTGTTTGTGTTTTTCTCTTAGCATACCAGTTCCACTGGTCTCTAAAATCCCTGCTGTGGACTTATGGGATGAATGACTGGCTTACTCAAAGTGGGGTGGGGCCCTGATCGGGGACACCCATTGACTCCACGCATTTGAGTCAGTATCTGTGGGGACACTGTGATGTTGTGTTAACTTTCTTTCCCTGCTGCTAGTTTTGATATTGACAGGTACACTCAACAGTACAAGTGAGGCCATGAGGAAGGTGAAAGTGGGCTGATGGTCCTTAAATTCCTCAAGATTTTGTGAGCATAAATCCTTGATGCTTTCTAAATTACAGTTCATAGAAATATTTCAAAATTGTCAAGGTAATCACTGTTAGAGGTTCATCATTAGTACAGTGACACTACTGAAATTTAAACCTGGGGCACTGGGGCAATGTTGACGAGTTTTGGAAACTGGGAAGTCGTAGAAATATTTCAAAATTGTCAAGGTAATCACTGATAGAGGTTCACCATTAATACAGTGACATTACTTAAATTTAAACCTGGGGCAATGTTGACGAGTTTTGGAAACTGGGAAGTCAGTGGCAAATGGCCCTGCCTGCAACCACTTTCCTAGATGCATGCATGTCCAGGAGGTGGGAGGCAGAGTAGCCACTGGACCATTTCCTTCTGCTATGACTGGACAGGTACAATCTCGGAACCCAACAGAGAGTTTCCCTTCTGGCCCAATGGGAATGGTTTCAGAGTAAAGATGAGGTTCACCACCAGACCAACCCTTCAGAAACTCCACTTTCCCTGTGATACCACACATATCCTGTAGAAGGCGCTGTTTGCCTTTCCAAACCAGTTCTGCTCTGGCCCCCATCCTACAGCCAGCCTTTCCTCACCAGGTGCTGCCACAGGAAGATTCCTCTCCCCCTTAGGTGCCTAGCCCTGCTCTGTTCTAGGCTACCTTGTCCCTTACTCTCTCTTCTGCAGTGGCCTTGCCCCCACCCTCCCCTCCAGGCTCCCTGACTACCCTGGCCAACTTGAAATCTTTCTTCCCCAAACTCCTATTGTTCATAGATTCTTTTTTTTTTTTAAACATACTTTTTTTTATTGATTTTTTTACAGAGAGAAAGGGAGAGGGACAGAGAGCTAGAAACATAGATGAGAGAAACATCGATCAGCTGCCTCCTGCACACCCCCCACCGGGGATGTGCCCGCAACCAAGGCACATATGCCCGACCGGAATCGAACCTGGGACCCTTCAGTCCGCAGGCCGACGCTCTATCCACTGAGCCAAACCGGTCAGGGCTGTTCATAGATTCTTTACACCAGTGTCGCACATCCTTGTCCGCGTGTTTCATCTTTCTTCTCTCTCTCCAAACAGATCTTAGGCTTTATTGAAAGCAGGACTGTGTCCTAGTCTTCTTTCATGTCCTGTTCTTGCTGAACACACAGTGGCCTCCCAGTAATTACCTGTATAGACCAGCTGATGGAAGGAAGCAGTCCGTGACGGGGAGGAAAGCTGGCCTGAGGTGAATGGTCAGTGTAGGAACTGGACAGTTTTTTCAGGCTTTCCCAGTATAGGGGCTTGAATAGGTGTGGTCACCACAAACTTCTGTTTCTAACTCGTGGGCCCATTTCAAACGTGCTGGACTGTGAGAGCTGTAAAGAAACTTTACCTTATGTCCTGGAAATTGGTGTCATATCATCTTTGTAGTTATTAGGGCCCTTTTAGACTTGAGGAATGGTGTGTGGGCTGGCACTCCTCACAGACATCCGAGGATCCACACGGAGGGCAGGCTGGCACCACGCTGAGCCGCTCATGGTTCTTCCCCCCAGCGACCTCGTGGGCCTCCTTCTACCACCCTCGGTCTCACGTCTTCTAGGCCCATTACTCTTTCACTTAAAGTTAGTTTTATATTCTGTATTTAAGGTCCCAAATTAGTTGCTAATTTCTTCATATAATTAACTATTTTAGATGTTTCTTGAGGTAAGGAGCCCTGTCGGATGCTATGTATCCTACCCCCAACAAAAGTGCCCAAAGCATGGTGAACATGAAATAGGTACTCAATTAATGCCGATGGAGCATTGGATTGGTAGCTGATGAGTTGTGCCAAGTCCCGGCAGACCGAGGTGATACCTCCAAGGGCTGGCTTTGGGCTTCTAAAAAAGGAAACATAGCAGTTATTCCAGTCTGTCTTCCTCAGTCTCTGCCCTGCTCCTCCACCTGCTGCCTTTGTGATTACCCTCTCTTGTAAGCCAGTGTTAGCTAAGTCTTTAGTCTACTCTTTAATCTTATCCTTGCTTCTTACACTGTTTGGAAGTGTTAGTTTTGTTAAGTGTTTTCCTACTCCTTTTCAGTCTTAGACAAGTTTTTTTGAAACAGCCATTTTAACACTTGTCCACTAGAGGTCACTGTTGAGATAGATATTTTTTCCCCCTTTCTGGTCTTGGGCCTAACTAAAGATTAAAAACCAAAATGGTATCAGATGAAATTTTTTGTAAGCTTTTCAGCTCTGTTCAACAGGGCATGTTGCTCTTTCATTTTACATGTATAGTTTACCATAATTAAAGTAGACTGTTCTATAAGGAGCTATGTTATTTTTCTGTTTTGCTCCTAAAATTGTACATTCATTTTCACACATCATTTTTTTAGTGTTATGATGGCTACTTTCTCAAGTTAGAAACTTTCCTTCCAATATCTTTCCATTGGAAGGATTTTATTGCCTTCTGCAGTATTTTGTATTGAGTATATATGATTTTCCTCCTGTGGAAGAAAGTTTAAAGTAAGTATGTATGTATGTATGTATGTAATCAGATTGAATTTAAAAATAAGTCAGGAATGTGCATTTTGTGCATATTTATATTGATTCTTCTACCAAAAACCATTGTCTAAGAAAAAACACTGTACATTATGAAATGAATTATATTCTGCATCAGTAATAAAGCAATCCCTGAGCATTAATTTTCTAACATGAAGCTTTACTTAATATTAAAGATAATTTTATTCTTACAGCAAAATCCATATGTAGATATTGCTAGAACCTTAAATATGACAACAATATTTTTTTCGTTTTGTGACCCATGTATATCGAGGATGAAGCACTCATCATTTTGTGCAAGAAATACAAAAGATATCTTTTTT